ATGGACAAGCAAAATAATGTATTGGGTGTAGCATGCCATTCTGTCATTATGAGATGCAGTTTCATATAGTGATTAAAGGCGTATTAGAAATGGAGAGACTATAAATTCTAGTCCTGCCTTAGTTGTGAAGCCAGCTGGTTGACTTTGGGCCAATCACACTCAGCCCTAAGAGGAAGACAATGGCAAATTACTTCCAAAAATGTCAAGACAACTGGGGGATTAGTCCAGATAGTCACCATATACTAGTCATAACATTGCATGTTTGCATACAGATAGTCCTCACTTAGCGACAGGTGGCACTGATTAACACTATGTTTGTTAAGTGAAGTATCTTATGACTGCAATTTATAATTTTACATCTAAATTCTCAATTAACTCTGCAAGTTGCAAGTGTTTGGGAAGCATGCAAATGACAATCATTTGGCCACAGGATGTTGCAACTGTAGTAAATGGGAGGACTGGTTTGCAAAACGGCTTCTTTTATACTGTTGTAACTACAAAATGAGGTGGTTTGTAAGCAAACCCTACCTGCACAAACTTTCTGAAATTAATTATTTTCCCAACTCCCAACTGCACACTTAAAGTATGAAGGTAATCTTACCTTCACCTAAATCAGTGCAGCTTAAGAGTCTAATCCTTAATGTAATTACTTAAAGAATCCTGTTTCCTCAGTGCATCTGCTAGAAAAAATGAAATCTTAGACTGCCGAAAATTGTATTTGCCTGGATCCTGTCTCTGAATTGCCTTTGATGCTTAATTTTAGTTTAAGCATTACAAAAGATTGATTAAGTGTCATCAACTCATTTTCAACTCCTAGTGATTACGTGTGAGATAGATTTTCTCCATATTGATCTTTCCCTAACCTGTTCTTTCAAGTTTCCCAATAGTGCATTCATTGCCACTATAACTGAGGCCATCCACCTTGCTGTTGGTTGTCTTCTTTTTCTCTTACCTAGCAATAGAACTTTTTCCAGAGCTCAATTTTCATATAAAATATCCAAAATAGGATAATCTGAAACTACTTTGAGTATTATTAAACCAATACAATATTTGTGTGTGTGTGTGTGTGTGTGTGTGTGTGTGTGTGTGTGTGTGTGTG